TCTCTGGAAGTTAAAGCACCAGAAAATAAATTAAGTCATACGCAGCTGTCATCCGTACGCAAGGAAGTAAGCACAACATGTCGAACACCCTTAGCAGGATGCAGCGCACCCTTCATGCGACTCGCCGAATACATCACGGCGCTTCGCGCTTGGTGATGTGAGAGCCTGGTCCGGTGAGAACCCGGGGTGCTCCGTCCCGGCATTGTAGGGATGCGAGGTCAATGGTCTAACGACTACGGCATGCACCACGATGAGTATGAGTACACCCCCCCCGTCCACATTCCGCTTTCGTGGTACACCGGTTGCCCCGGTGGTCTAGTGGGTAACCTCGCAGCCTGCTAGGGGCCAGGTCATGGGTTCGAGTCCCGGCAGAGTGAGTTCTTTTCTCACTAAATAAATCCTGGTCTAGGATGAAAGCGACGCGCTGCAAAGCTCGTTTGTTAGTAAACCACAATCAATCGACTTCGTAAGTCGCGGGGGAAGGGATTGCTGTACCCTTCTCGCGATAAAACTACCTCAATCAGGCAGAAACCGCAGGAGGGGGTCCAGCCCCCCCCTCTTATGTGACCCCGGTTGGGTCGTCTGGCTGGTAGAAGTGGAGGATAGGGNGGAAGGCGACGCGCTGCAAAGCTCGTTGGTAGTAAACCATAATCGACTTCGTAAGTCGCGAGGGAAGCGGTTGCTTTACCCTGATCGCGATTAAAATACCTCGGGCAGGACCCGCAGGAGGGGGTCCAGCCCCCCCCTCCAATGTGACACCGGTCGGGTCGTCTAGCTAGTAGAAGTGGAGGATAGGGGCCAGAGGGGCAGACGATAGAGCCCAATGATGGGAGAAAAAGAAAATAGAAAAATACACCCCGCATACTAGGGCTGAACCCCCTGTGTCCCTCTTTTTCGTTCGGTGTTTCTCCAACTGCCAGCGGACCAGCAGGACACTAGTCAATTCTCGTCACCCAGCGCACCAACCGTCATGGCACCACTTCATTGCGATATCCCGGGGCGTGACAGTGGTGTTAGTCACGGGTGCTGTGTGTGGGAAGACCTTCGTTGCGGCGTGGAATTCAATTAAGTTTTTTTTTGGCGCGGCCAATCGGGCCGCATCGCCAGGCGAAAAAGCCAACCGGATTTCACATCGTCACGATGCTCTCGCGACATACAGCACCCATGCCCAAAACAACTGATGCGCCCAGAGACACCGCAATGGAGCACACGCTCGAAGTGGTGCAATTGCGATTGGCGTCCTAGGTTTCGAGAACTAATGTGATGCTGTGCTGACATTGCTGGCAGTTGCACGCAGCGGTAAACAAAAACATGCTCAACA